TTTTTGTGATTAATCACTATGCTTTAATTATGTTCAATTTGTAACAATGAAAATACATCCTGCATATTAGATTTTTGTATTAGAATTCATAAGAGTAGCAAAATTATTTATGAAGTAGCAACGAAAATATAGTTGGGGGTCACCACAACACGAGGAACTTTATTTGGGGGTCACTGCATTAGAAAGGTTGAGAACCACTGTCATAGAGGATACCAAGAGAGTAAAGAAAATTATGTTGACATTTCTCCACAGCTCCCTAATGACCTTCTTGCTTCAGTTTGGACTCCTTAGTAAGACTACTGCCTTTCCTAGAAATGCTCTACCAAGCAGAACCTGGTACAAATATATTCAGTAAAACCATTCTGGGATCATAGTTTTGATTTGTCAGTTATTCGACTAATTTCAAAGAATATAAGCTCAAGAACCTCCATATAACATTTTAGGTGCATAACATGCAGTAGGAAATGATACTGACAGTTTTAATAAAAATGTTATAGCTCTTTTCCATCATTATCTTCTGCATATAATGGACCAATGAGTTGGGCTATAGGATGATGTAGTGTGCTTTTAGCTTTTTATCCTTTTATATTCCAGGAATGTACACCAGAGAATGTAGAACTAAAAAAGAAGATTTTTGGCCAGTTAGACCTTATTGTCAGTAATGATGTCGTTCTAAGCAGTTCAACTTCCACTCTTCTGCCAACAAAATTGTTCACTGGGCTGAAGCATGTCAAGCAGTGTATAGTTGCACATCCTGTAAGTACACTAAGCATCTTGAGAATGTTTTGAATTCTCAGCCAGTATTATGTTGTCAAAATGAATGGTCATCTTATATGTCTTAAGTTGGATTCTTATATTATTCTGTGTAAAGGTTTCAAGTAGGTGCTATCTGATGCAGAGGTACAATTGACCTTCTTTACCCACAGCTTCTGCACCCATACATTCAATAAACCATGGCCTGGAAATATTTGAGGGAAAAATATCCAAACAAGCAAACTTTGATTTTGTCATTTTATATAAAGGACGACATTATATATAATGAGATGTGAGAATCTTTAGATTTTGGTATTCACTGGGGATCCTGCAACCAAACCCCAGCTGAGAAACTATTGTACCTACAGTTGTTTCCAACTTACAGCAGTCTTAAAGCAGCCCTATCATGGGGTTAATTTAGCAGGATTTATTCAGAGTAGGGACTTAGTACTGCCTTCCTCTGAGGCTAAGAGAATTTGACTTGTTCAGAATCACCCAGTAAGTTTCCACAGACAGAGATTTACTACAACTCATACTGTATGTTGATAGTATTATAAATAAACAATAAGGTACAAAGCAGATTATTTCTCTTTTTTTAGAACTGATTTAAGACAAATAAATTGATCATAATATCTCCATAATGTTTTGTGCTCTCCCTCTCTGATTTATGTCTAGGTAAATCCACCATATTATGTGCCTTTGGTTGAGTTGGTTCCCCACCCTGAAACAGAACCTTGTGTATTAGAGAGAACCTATGCTCTCATGAAGAAGATTGGACAATCACCAGTTAAACTGACAAAAGAGGTTGATGGGTTTGCACTGAATAGACTCCAGTATGCGATTATTAGTGAGGCATGGAGACTCGTTGGGGTATGTATGATTTCATTCTTCAGTTTACCTGTCTGTGCTTCCACTTCTCTGGATTGTAACTGGTTTATTGACCGAACTTACAAATTACAAAGATTACCATTCTAGTGGGGTATCCTGGCCCCATCGTTTGTCAACATCTTTAGTAACAATTCAATTGAAGGTGTAATTATCAAATTTGTAGATGACACCAATTAGGAGGGATAGTTATTACCTCAGAGAATAGGATCAGGATTCAACCTTACCTTAATGGGTTGGAAGGCTGGGGCAGGGGGAGGGGATAAAGAAGGATTTCAAGAAGGATAAAGAAATGGTACTAAATTTAGACAATGAAAATGAAATGTACAAAGACAGAATTGGTAGCATTTGACTTGAAAGCAGCTAAGTCAAAAACAAATCTAGGGCTCTTAAGCAGATCACAAGTAAAACATGAGTCAACTGTGTGATGTAGTGGCCAAAAAGCCAATAGAATTCTAGACTGCATCAACAGAAGTATACTGTCCAAATGCAAGAAGTAATATATCAGTCGTTCCAAACCTGTGGATCCCAAGGTGTTTTGGCCTACAATTCGGAACACCCAGCCAATTTACCAGCTGTTCATTCCTGGGAGTTGAAGGCCAAAACATACGGGGACCCACAGGTTGAGAACCACTGTAATATACTCATATATTCTGCTTGGTCAGATATCTGCAATGCTGACTGCAGATTTGAACACCACAGTTCAAGGGAGATATTAAAAAGTTGGACCTTCGTCAGAGGAGGGTGACCCAAATGGGGAAGGCTCTGGAAACCAAGCCATTATGACAAATGGCTTAGGAAGCTGGATATATTTACCTTGGAGAACAAAAGATTGAAAGGTGATAGGATATTTATCACCTGGAGGGATAACATATAGAAGATGGAGAAAGCTTATTTTTCTGCTGCTCTAGAGCAGGGGTCCTCAAACTAAGGCCCGGGGGCTGGATACGGCCCTCCATTTACCCGGCCCTCGCTCAGAGTCAACCTAAGTCTGAAATGGCTTGAAAGTACATAACAACAATAACAATCCTATCACATCAGCCAAAAGCAGGCCCACACTTTACATTGAAATACTAATAAGTTTATATTTTTTAAAAACTGTTCTTCATTTTAATTATTGTATTGTTTTAAAGTGTTTTTTGCACTACAAATAAGATATGTACAGTGTCCATAGGAATTCATTCATGTTTTTTTTCAAATTATAATCCGGCCCTCCAACAGTTTGAGGGATTGTGACCTGGCCCTCTGTTTAAAAAGTTTGAGGACCCCTGCTCTAGAGTCTTAAACATAAACCAGTGGATTCAGATTATAATTATTATATAATATTTACTTGATCATTATAAGAAAATAGATTTCACCTTCAGTATAAGAGCTGTTCAGCAGACATGCGTAAATTTCAGTCCTCCAGGTGTTTTGGACTCCAACTGACAGAAATCCCAGCCAGCTTATTAGGAATTGGTGGAGTTGGAAGTCCAAAACACCTGGAGGGCCAAAGTTTGCCCATGCCAGGAATAGACTGTTCCTGATGATTATAGAAAACACAAGAAAAATTGGATTTATAAAATAGGATTGCAGCATTTGTAATTAATATTCTTGCCATTCAGGAGGGTGTAATATCTCCAACTGATCTGGATCTGGTGATGTCTGATGGCTTGGGAATGCGCTATGCTTTTATGGGACCCCTGGAAACAATGCATCTGAATGCAGAAGGCATGTAACCTTTGTTACTAAGATTTAAATGTGGAGTTTTCATGGTTCATGACATAATGAATATTATTCATCATGAATACTATTTTAACAGTACATGTTATGATAATGTTGGAGAAGACTGGAAAGTCCTATTGTTCTTTACACATCATTGTTTGCTTTGGAGGTGACTAGCACTTAACTTGAAGGACCAATGTCATGGGAAAAGACCCTAAGATTAGGTCAGACCCATCAAATTGATTTTTGAATTTCAGCCATATATTGAGGCCTACCAGGAGCTTCCACATTTTGTGTGTTATGTACACTTTAGCATTTCTGAGCAGAGAGCAGAAAAAACCCCATAGTGATTTCAAGTTTTGTAGGTCAGTCCAGACCTATTTTAGGATATTATCGCATTAAGGTGGCAAACCAGAATAGCAGCAGGATCATTACCTTTTATGACAATTCCCATTGCATAATGACATGAGATATCTGTTGCTACTCTGAACAAAGCCATCCTCAACTATTGATGGAAAAAACACAGTGCTGCAACCTGCCTGGTGCAGCGACCCCAAGCACTTCTGTGTTGGCATACTAGTGATATCAGGAGTGGGATTGTCCTACTCTCCCACTCTCCCCTCTCTGTCAAAGATTTCATTACAAAAAATTACCTCAGCTATGCAAAATTGTAAACTGTCTTTAACAGATTAATTTTTTTAAAAAGCGGCACAGTGGGAAAGCAGAGTTAAATGTCTCATCCAGAAGTGCAACCATGGGAACTCACACAAAGTGTCTCAAGTGCACAGCACTAGCAGTGGTGCGGCAATAATTCACTGTATTGGTAAATTACCACAATCCTTGTTCATGTGAATGGTGGGGGATAGTGACACCATGTGATATGTCATCAGTCTGTTTGGTATGTTCCACATCTTCCATCATCAGCTGTAGATCCAGAAGCACGAAGAAAGTTTCCTTATTTGCCTTGACTATGAAAAGTAGATCGTTTCAATTCTATGGTTCTTTGCTGAAACCAATGTTTAACATACTTTCCATATAGGAAAAACATATTGGAATATGTATTAGATTTAAGAGTATCTGCAAGGTTTATTCTCAGTTTGGAAATTTGATTAACTTTGTGTTTCTTTGTATACGAAGGATTTTTTGTTTGGAACGGACCAAAAAAAAATATATCTCCAATTCTATTTCAGGAATGTTGAACTATTGTGAGAGATACCGTGAGGGCATGATACATGTCTTGAAAACCTTTGGGCCAATACCAGATTTCTCAGGGGAAACAGAACAGAAGATCAATCAGGTACATTTACATGGGAGTCTTATGACATCAGACAAAGTAGAAAAAATGTATCACTTGTATTAGCATCCTATTTTAGGGATGCAGCCATCTCTATTTTGGGTTTAAGCATTTTCATATTTGTTTTTCTTGAGAAGTTTAATGAGTAAGGAATGCTAATTTCATTAAAAGACTTCTAAATTTAGTTAAGTCGGTCTAGAGCAGTGGTTTGCAACCTTTTTTTGACAAGGGACCACTCTCCAACATCAGTACCAAAAAGCTTACGAATCAGTTTTTGGTCAACGTTGGTTTGGTTATTTGTGGTGCTGATTAAGAAAATTGCACTGGATAGACCACATCAACTTGAGCAGAGACCACTTTGACCAGGGACCACTCTCCAACATTAGTACCAAAAGGCTTACAAATCAGTTTTTGGTCAACATTGGTTTGGTTATTTGGGGTACTGATTAAGAGAATTGCATTGGATAGACCACATCAGTTCTAGTTTCTGATCCAATAGTCACCAACTGCTCTCACACAGAAAACTGTGTTTAATAATCTAGCTGATGTGGTAGTAGTAATCTTTCATGGGTAGTCAGCCTCTCCCCTCCCGACATCCCCATTGCCTTGGCACTATAAGACAGTTTCACAAGACAAGTTGCTCTCATTGCCGCGTGGTTTTGAGACAATGGTGTACCATTGGTTAGGCCACGGATCATATTTTCATTCTTGGGGACCACTGGTGGTCCATGGACCACAGGTTGGGAACCACTGGTCTAGATTTGAGTAGGTTCTAGATCAGAGGTCCTCAAACTTTTTAAACAGAGGGCCAGGTCACAGTTCCTCAAAATGATGGAGGGTCAGATTATAATTTGAAAAAAAACATGAATTCCTATGCACACTGCACATATCTTATTTGTAGTGTAAAAAGCACTTAAAAACAAGACAATAATTAAAATGAAGAACAATTTTAACAAATATAAACTTATTAATATTTCAATGGGAAGTGTGGACCTGCTTTTGGCTGATGAGATAGGGTTGTTGTTGTTGTGTGCTTGCAAGTCATTTCAGACTTAGTTTGACTCTGAGCGAGGGCCAGGTAAATGACCTTGGAGGGCCGTATCCAGCCCTCAGGTCTTAGTTTGAGGACCCCCATTGGTTCAAAACCTATTTTTTCTGATCTGCTACAACTTTGAGAAAAGATGCACCTTTTAGGCTACTGCAAAGCTATATTGCAGGTGCCACTTGTCATTTTCCATTCTGTGACTTACTCTGTTTTCTCTTCATTTCAGGCAATGATTGAAAAAACACCAGCTGATCCAGAGCACTTAAATGCCAGGCGGCACTGGCGAGATGACTGCCTTATGCGCCTGTCCCATCTAAAAAAGGAAACTAAGTCTGATGGTATCAATCATGTTTAGATCTTAGGGTAGTTATTCAAATAGCTGCAGCTCTTCCACAAGCAGATGTTAAATCATGGAAGACATGATTGTGAATACAAGAGCCCAGTTGATCTGAACATCTGTAGTCAATTTATTCAATTTCAGATTTTAAAAAAAACAGAATAGCATCCAAAGCTAGTTTTAAATGTAGTTTAAAGAATCTGCATTTTTGAGACTGAAAGCCATGATGCCATGCTATTTTATAAAATAAAAAGACAGATCTTGTTTTCAGTGCTAACCCGCAGCTGTATGAAGACGAGCACACATTTCTGTTGGAATGTAAAATATGTTTGATTTCCACAAGTAAAGTGTTCTTATTGCTGGCTACCATGATACAAGATTTGTAAGGATTCCACAAAGAAACAATTGACCTGGTTTTAATGTGGACTTACTAACAACTGTTGGAATGGTGCAGTCTAGGAGGCGATTCTCATTGGGAATCTGTAAGCTTCACAAGAAGAATGAACCATACTGTGTTAGAATATTAACAAAACCTTGCTTTGTTACATTTATGCAACATAGAGAATTATTCTGAATTTTCCATCATGTCTTAACCAAAGGGATGGCCGCATGTTTTGATGTTTTACCATTCTTGTCAGAGGGGTCACTCATTTCTCCGCATGGGGAGCTGAAGCTGACAGATTAAAACCTCTGACCTTTCACTCACCAGCAGGTCGACAGTTCGAATCTGTGGGATGAGGTGAGCTCCTATTGTTAGCCCCAGTTTCTGCCAACCTAGCAGTTTTAAAACATACAAATGTGAGTAGATCATAGGTACCACTTCAGGAGGAATGTAACGATGCTCCATGCAATCATGCTAGCCACATGACCTTGGAGGTGTCTATGGACAATGCCAGCTCTTTGGCTTAGAAATGGAGATGAGCACCACTCCCCAGAGTCAGACTCAACTAGACTTAATGTCAAGGGGAAACCTTTACCTTTTTTTATAATTGTATCTGGTAGTATATTTCATGCTGCCCTCTTTATTATGCTTTGAAAAAAAACCCTATTTTTATTATGTATTGCATAGTGCTTTGGGAACCTTTCACCTCAAAAGCAACATTCAAAAAGAAATAAATAAATAACAAAAGGAACTGCATTGCACAAGCAACAGAATAGGCATCATTACTAATGATAAGAATTGTTTCCTTCATTATAGTAAAGTCTCTACAAAAATATTGCTAAAAGCAAATTAACAATATTAAGGAGAATGTTCCCTATTTTAATAATATCATACTGGACTTAACAAAACATCTTTTAAAGAATGGCCATAATGTAAAATTTTGCTTAATACAGTTGCTGTATTTGAAAAACTATTTTTTCCAACGAATGCATTTGCTTCTGTTCTGAAATCATGCACAATCTCTTATTTTGTGACATACCTGCTTTGCTTGTCAATAAACATATACAACTACATTTCTGTGATGCTTTGGGGTTTTTTTATGCTAGTGGTTTAATGCGAGCCTGTGATAATCTTGGGTAGATTCTGATCATACAGCTTATTTTTGCATTGACATCCTGGTATCTGTATGGAGTAGGATTGTCAGATGGAACATAGCCCAAACCCCAGAGGAAACCCATTTTGTCCATAGGATTCATCTAGATGTTGACTTACAATTTAAGAACTGATTGCATTAGTGTACTCTACTTGAAGTATGTTAATACGTTCCTTCATTACTCTGATCATAAGAATAGAATAACCAATAAAGAGATCAGTAACATTTTAAACAATAATAAATTCGTTGTTTTTGTATATAGGTTGAGATTATGTTTTCAACCATCAGTAAATCTTCTGGTCCCGCTAGAGGGAGCCAATGTGCTGAAGATCCTGGATTTTTGAAGCATCGATACACAAGATGATTACATTGTCTACGGCTAAATTTTAAGCAATTCTCTAGCACAGAACTTTCCAGACATGTCATGTTGCATCATTTTGCAACACGGTAGTTCAGTTTTACTAGCAAACCAGAGGTAAACCAACCCTTTATAAGAGATATAGACACATCTATCTATCCGAACGTATCTCAGCCTATTAGCCCACCAGGACCCTAAGATCTTCTGGAGAGTCCCTGCTCTCTATCCCGCCGGCTTCACAAGTGCGGCTGGCGGGAACGAGAGACAGGGCCTTTTCTGTGGTGGCCCCTCGGCTTTGGAACACCCTCCCTATAGAGGTACGATCAGCCTCCTCGCTGATGGTGTTTCGGAAGAGATTGAAAACATGGTTGTTTAAACAAGCATTCGGTTAATCCGTTGCAATCGAATGTTGATGACTAAAGGACTGGTAATCATGGACGATGAATTTTGGATTGGGTTTTTAGTTACGAGATGCATGGGATTATTATTGGTGGCCCAATAATTTGTATTGTATATGTGTTCTATGTTTTAAATTGAATACTGTTTTTTAACTGTTGTAAACCGCAATGAGTCGCCGACTTAGGCTGAGATATTAGCGGTATACAAGCGTATAAATAAATAAATAAATAAATAAATAAATCTATAATAATTTAATGTATGAGGACACAACATACCTCATGGTAATAACGTACATTTTCAAGATTTGTGTCATTTCCCATTATGTTTGTGCAAAACAGCTACATGCAGCAACTAATGTGTCATGACACACAGTTTGGACAGCTCTGCTATAGCAGGTTGTGTTTCTCATACGTTTTCTATCTGAAAGGCCTATTTTCTTATGAGCCACCTCAGATTTTATGATCTGCAGAAGAGAGCTTTATCTCAGGTGTATTTGGTGAAGGCTTGCTAGCAGTAACTGCTCTTAGATTATATCATTGCCTTCCAGTTCTGTTCTCTTCTTGCCAACAGGTGACATTGTTTTTATTCAGGCAGAAGTGCTGTGCTATATTTTCAGTCTTCTGCTGGTACTGTAGTTATGTTTTAATTGTTTTAACTGTTTTACAACAATTTTTAGAATATTGTTATTTAATGCTTTGGGTGATCTAAACATATGTTGATGGCCTTAATAGTATAAACAAACAAATAACATTACAGCTGCCATTAGAAACCACTTGGTAAGACGTTTGTTATTGAAAACAATCCTTGCAAAAAGAACTTTAGTCATAATTCAGATGAAATTTATGCATATTGATTTCTACAAAATACACTTAGTTATCCAATTGGTAAAGAATACACGTGTATTCTTACATTGTCATCTTTTTGAACTTTGAGTGATTTAGTATGTAAAGTGTAACTACATGCTTAGTAAAATTAATCTTTTCTGCAGTCATGGCTAACTATATTAAGAAATGAAGAAGAAAAAACAAATTAGCTAGCCAGAGTTAATAGGAAACACAATCTCATTACAATTAGAAATGATAGAAAATTGAATGCTTGAAACATTTGTTTTGGATTAAAAAAGATTTATGGTTAATATGGATGATAAAATATTATTTCGAAGATGTGTAGTTAAGTTGTATGACTATAGCATTTTGGTCTACTTTGCTCTAGGAGTTTTGTTTAATTGAAAAATGTCGCACTGCTTTGAGGAAGATCTCTCCTTGAAAAATATACAGATGCAATGGAGATAAGTGTCAGTTCCCCACTAATATTTTCTAAAAATGATAAGTATTTTAAAATGATGCTAAATAAGTAACCACTTTATGATTTAGACATTGCTACGGTGGATACGTAACAGCTTATTTATTTACCATATTTATACCCCGCCCTTCTCATCCCAAAGGGGACTCAGAGCAGCCTTAGAAGTAGGCAACAATCCAATGCCACACAAATACACACAAATAAAATAATACATTAAAAACCAAAAAGTTTAAAACATCACATATTAAAACCAGTCATTATAGAATCATAGAATCAAAGAGTTGGAAGAGACCTCATGGGCCATCCAGTCTAACCCCCTGCCAAGAAGCAGGAATGTTGCATTCAAATTTATTGAATTGAATGTAATTGCTGTTTTAATGTTTTAATGTTTTATTGTAATATGAAGTATGATGTTTTATTGACTGTATGTGATATTATGGTTGGAAACCGGTCTGAGTCCCTCAAGAGAGGTGAGAAGGTCGGTATACAAAACTTTTAAATAAATAAATAAATAAATAAATAATAATTAAGCGGCCATCCAGCCTCTGTTTAAAAGCTTCCAAAGAAGGAGCCTCCACCACACATTAAAACCAAGCAGCCCAGTAACAATCCATAATATGTTATTAACAAGTTTGTACATTGCTGTTAGCTAATGCTGAAGAAGCTGTAGCAGTGAATGAAGGTGTGATTGTGAGGATGGGAGAAAATCCAGAGCAGAAATAAACAGATTTATCTTTGTTCTGTTGCTACCCTTTTAAATAGTGAAATCAGCTATCTGCCACCAGGGGGCAGTGTAGGTCAATTGCCAGCATACCATGTTACTTTGAAAGCCATAGCAGGGTTTGAAAGCAATAACAAAGGTTTATTCACCTGGCCAGATGGATGACAGAACAGCATAATCGCCAAAAGGACTGACATAACTCATACAGAAAAGTTCAGCACATTTTATAAAGTTTGGCAGCTATTCAGATTTCTCTCTCTCCTAGTTGGTCAGTAGGTGTCTTCTAGGATCTGCCTTCTCATTGGCTGTGACTTCCTCTTGAAATCACAGACTGGGACAGAGAGGAAAGATAACAACTGGGATTGGTAAGGTTCAAAATTAAAGGTTTCTTGTGCCCACCTCTGAGAGTGTGGGCCCCCTTGTCCAGAATGGAAAGAACATGTATTTAGCACTGTTGGACGTTGGAAGGTTGAAATAATCTCTACATAAAGAGTGAGGCTTGGGAAACCGGAAAGTTAATCAAGTGGGTAAACAACACTTGGTGAGTTGTGGGTCCTGGAGGTTGCTGGTGATCAGTATCTCAGCAAGGAGTCCAGTGGAAGAATCTGTGTTATTTCTCAAGGAAGCAATATAGTCTATTTATTTATTTACTACGTTTGTATACTGTCCCTCTCAACCTGCAGGCGCCTTGGGGCGGTTTACAGTCGGTACTAAGACCATAAAATGCAATTACAATACAATTAAAAACATTAAGATAATATAAAACCTAGCATAGTCAATAAAAACATATATCATTAGGTTCTCCTTGTTAAAACATTGTCCAATCACATCGTCCAACCATTCCATTTTCCTATGTCTGTTACACTGTGTTTGCAAAAGTCATATAAGCACTACATAATGTAAGTTATGATATTTGATAAACTTGGGTTGCTGGTCCA